CAGGCATGTGCGTGTGCCCGGACTGGGAATCAAACTGTGATCTCCTGGCTCATAGGTCAATGCTCAACTGCTAAGCCACGCTGGCCAGGCTTTTCATGGGGGTTTTGAGCTGATTTCTACTCCCCACACATAAGCAATCATGCCCTGTGCTCCTCCACTATTTCAACTTCCTCCAAGTGATCTCGGGTGTCTTTCTTCTGTAACACAGCCTGGGATCCTGTACTGAATACATTCTTAGAATAGAGTCAGGGAGGTCACAAAAGGCACACACAAGCCCAGTCTGCACTGACAAGCAGAGGCGGCAGGGTGATCCATCCAAAAGCATTTAATCACTTCTTTCTTCCTGCAGAGCAATCCCATACCTACCAAGCTGCCAAGTACCAAACGGCTAGTTGTGGGGGGGAAAAAGAAAGGTAACAGAGTTTCAAGAAAACCATTACTTCGTCCATAACAGTTCACCAGCACTGAATATGCAAGAAATCAGGAAGAAAAGGGTGAGTTCTTATCTACCACGCTGGCCAATTCAGATTTCCATATGGTTAACGGCAAGACTGCAAACGGGCTCATGTTGTCTAGAATCGTCTTGCCAGTGAGAGGGACACAGCTGTGAGAGAGACAGTACAACGTGAACCAGAGCAGTAATAACTCTTTCCACAAACTGTCATGGAGCAAGAAGCTGGGAGGCTGAGTATCTAATAAAGTTATGCAGCTCAAATCTAATTTCTGCTGTAAGAAAAGGGAGCAGCACATGTTGGCAAAGGAGGTAAGAATCCTGGTCTGGAGGCCACCTATCAAATGTAGGACTTTAGGCCACATTATTATAAATTTTTCTCCTTTCCACAGGAGAGCAGACATTTTAACAGCATTATCTCCATGAAGAATGGGAATTCAGGAAAAATAAATTTAGTGGGAAGGGAAAGGGTTCATCTTAGGGTTAGTGTGCATGTCTGAGACAGCATAACTCAGAAACATTTCTTCTATTCCCTGACCTTTTCACCTGGGATGGTTTCCTTGAAAAGAGACACACTATGAAGTCATTCATTTAAAACAAAACTGCCTTTGCCACTCAGAGCGGGGTGCTTCAGATCAGATGGCGACAGTCTGAGAGTGAGTTTCCTGACAATGGTTTGTGTAAAAGGGCTGAGGGCTGCACCAGGTGCTGAGACACCCCGTCAAAGTGTTCCCTGGCAGCAGGGTGCAGCGAGGAACACGAGATCACCCTGGCCGTCTAACTGGCCACCACACGTCTGACATGCCCCCTGCAGAGCTGCCTTTATCTTTGCTTATCATTGCCAGGGCCATGGAACACACAGCTGCTAAACAGAATACTTTTCTTCATGTTGAACACAAATTTCCTCCCCTATTTGTTCTTTGCCACCTCTGTAACCCAGAACATTCTAGTCTCTCATTCATAAAATGGCTTTACAACATGACAATCCTGTTCTGGCTAACCATCCCAATACATTCCGGAGGTCCTTCCTACCACAAACATTTGCTTAGTGTGTACAGTCTCCCTCCTTTGGCACGGCCTCCGGTCACTCAGTTACTGTCCCTTTAAGGAGTATCGCCCCCACCCCACCCCCACCTGCAAACACAGTGCTGAATCCTGAAGAACAGAGCTGGACAATGGCTTCCATCATTCTAAATACTCTCCCGGCTCCATCTCTTTCTGGCTGTGGGACACTGAGCAGGTTACTTGATCTGTTTGTGCTTTAATCTCCTTATCTGTAAAATTGCGGTGGGGGGAGATATCAAGAGTTCCTACCCAAAAGGAATGTTAGGACCAACGGAGTTACTGTACAAAGTACTCATTATGCCTGGCACTCAAGAAGCCTTCCTTAGCGGGAGCCTTCGCAATAAGGTCAACATCACGCTCGTGCTGATGCAAAGCTAGACTTCCAGGTGATGCTGCTTTTGGTCTCTGCCATCTGAACAGGAAGGAGGAGTGATGTTACTGTCTGTGACATCTGAGAGACAGACCAACAGAATCTCTGAGGGATGGAGGAATGGAGAAGCAGTCAGCTAGAGGCTGAGCACTCCACTTCTGGGTATACACCCAAAAGAACTGAAAGCAGAGTCTTGAAGGATTTTTACACACATGTTGATAGCAGCATAATTTACAATAGCCAAGTGGTAGAAGCAACCAAGGTGGCCAGTCACAGATGAATAGATAAACAAAATGTGGTATATGCATACAATGGATTAGCTTTCAGTTTTAAAAAGGAAGGAAATTCTGACATATGCAATAACATGGATGAATCTTGACATTATGTTAAGTGGCTGCTACAGACTGAATATTTATGCCCCCTGAAATTCAGGTGTCCAAGTTTAATCCCCAAGGTGATGGTATTAGGAGGTGGGGGCCTTTGGGGGTGATTAGGTCATAAGGGTGGAGCCTTCATGAATGGAATTAATGCCCTTATAAAAGAGATCCTACAGAGCTCCTTCCCCTTCTACCACGTGAGAACATAGTGAGAAGACCCTTACCAGACACTGAATCTGCCTCAATCTGGGACTTCCCAGCCTCCAAAACTGGGAAATCAATTTCTGTTGGGGCAGAGGGGAGGGGAGGAATGGGGAGCTATTGTTTAATGTGAATATGTAATACCAATGAACTGGTATAATATAATACCAATACCTAAAAATGGTAAAGATGGCAAATTTTATGTTATGTGTATTTTACTATAATTTAAAAAAATTTAAAAATACACGAGACATAGCTCAAGAAAACCACAATGAGGGAAAAGAGCTACAGCAGAAACAGACAAAGGAAATACGACTCATGATTTGAGAAGCCTTATAAAGATGCTCAAAAGTCCTGTTCCTGTGCAAATCCTGAAAGTGGTAGCTGGTGGACACCCTTCTCCAAAGCCCCTCCTCACTGCCACTGCTATTTGGAAGCAGAGTGCCCTCAAGAGCACAGGCTTTGGGGCAAGGAGCTCACTTGGGTTGGCCCTTGGCAACATGGCCTTGTTGAATGGCTTAACCTCTTTCACCTTCACTTCCTTCTTTGCTGTGGGCTGTTATGAGGACCAAGTGGGACAAGCCACGCAAAGCTCTCAGCACAGGCCCGGTACCAGTTAATGTGCAAGAAATGTTAGCCGTTCTCACTGCTGTGAGATCTTACCTGAACATCATACAAGAACTGGAAACGGCTTCTTTTACTTGCAGCTTCTCTCACAGCCCACGCCAGGTCCACCGACCCCTTTCCACCCATCGACCAGTGGTAGCAAGGGACTGCATCAAAGGCGCCAGCCCGCTTCGCCAGCTCGCACACTAAGTCGATCTCAGCCCGGGTGTCAGTCCTAGTGATGAAAACGTTTGTGGTTTTGCATCTGCATTCATTTAGTGATGTTTTTAAAGAAAGACTAACCATCTATACAGAACTCTGTTCCCTAACACTGAATATATTTTAAACATCAAAAGTGGTTACATCGTGTTTAAATAAATCAGACTTAAAGAAAAGCATTGAGAAAAAAAAAAAATCCCTTGCAACATGACTCAAATATTTCAAGTTGTTAAGGGTTTTATTGAGAAAATTCCATAACACATCCCTTTGATCATCCAGTCTTTCAGACAGAAATGCTGGGTGAAATAAAATAAAAAAGGCCAAAAAAATGTAAGTCACTCTATAGACTTCATTTCCCTAGTAACATCTGAGAACACTTCTGCTGAAATGACACCAAACCAAACCAAACCAACAGAAAGAGCAGAGTATTTCTGTGTACTTCTAGATGAAGCAGAGAGAGAGCACACATCCTGGGTTATGAACCTAGTTCACAGGGTGGCCCAGCACTATGAGCACACATCCTGGGACATGAATCTAGTTCACAGGGTGGCCCAGCACTACGACCACATTTAAAGGAAGCCTGACTTACTTGAAGACATTCAGAGCCACGACAACGGGAACCCCAAAGAGCTGAGCGATCTGAATTTGCTTCTGGAGGTTACAGCAGCCATCTGCCACCAGCTGGATGTTCTGTAAGAAAACCAGACCCCCATGCATTGCCTCCCACCACACCTGCCAAACTCAATGGGCAGGGCCACGTGGCAGGTTGTGCTTCCATCTTTGCTCACTTTGTGGTCCTAGAAGCTATGTGGGAGCTATTCATAGATCCCCTTTTCCTCCAAGAGAGATGGCTGAAGGAGGAGGCTCCTTTTCAAAATAACTTCTAACATTGTTCTGAGCCCAATGGCATATTTGGGTCTTGAGTCAGGCAGCTATTTATGCAGCCGACCAGTGGCCAGGACGTAAGCAATATGCCCACGCCCTGCAGGTTGGTGTACTAAAATGCCCAGGGAGGGTGAGGAGAGCTGTCCAGCTAGTCCCTGCTCAAATCCCCGGTGCCACCTATAGGATAGGAGAGGTACTGTTGCCACGAAACCAAAGTCTATTTACAGAGAGCCAAGTAATTCAGGCAAGTCATAAAGCCAATTGTACATCCTCCACGAGTCACTTTTTTGCACACCTAAAGAATACATGGGTATAAGCATTATATTTGTTTCTGTGCTGGAGACTGCAAGCTGGGAATAGGAGCAGAAGATAAAGACCACGTCTATCATTTCTTAAGTTGAAGAGTTAAATGAATGGATTGCATCCCTGCTCCCCACCAGTTCCTCCAGGATGATAAGAAAAGCACTTTTCTAAGAGGCCATGGGTGGAGGACTCATCCACTGACTGCATTCACCTGCAAGCCAGTGGTTAACTGGACTTGAAGGATTCTCCACTGTAGCCTTTTAAAGCTGTCACTCTTACCTCCTCTGTGTATTCTCTCTTAAGAGGGACACCGGCAGTTACCTGAGATAAGAGAAAAAACAAAGAATAATCTCATTAAAATGCCTACTCTAGCCCTGACCAGTGTGGCTCAGTTTACTGGGCATCATCCCATGCACCTAGAGGTGGTTAGTTCAATTTCCAGTCAGGGCACATGCCTGGGCTTTGGGCTCAATCTCCAGTATGGGGCATGCAGAAGGCAGCCAATCAAGGTTTCTCTCTCTCTCCCCTCTCCTCCCTCTCTCTCTAAAATTAACAAAAACATATTTAAAAAAAAAAATGCTTACTCCAATTGATCAATAGTTGAAAGAAAAACAAATCACAGTCAATTTTAGGGAAGGTACCTTTTAAAGCACATTTTGTACTTTTAAACCAGTAACTGGTAGCCCTGGCTGAACATAAAGTCTTGTGGGAAGCTTTTAATAAAAACTGATGCCTGGGCCCCACCCATACAAATTAAAGCAGGATTTCTGGGAGTGGGACCCAGGATCAGTAATATCTGAAAATGCCCCTGGCAATTCTAATTTGAACCAATACTGAGAACTTTTATACACTGCTCATTATCCTAGCAGAAAATGGAATTTATAATGCATCAATACGTGAATCATACAAAGTGCACCATCTTTCTAAATAAATTCTAAATCATTTTAAAGCAATGCCATTACTATTCTGGGGGGGGGGG